TCATTATAAGTCTGAATGTTATACCAGGCTGCCTAATGACAAGGATGAGAAGTCAAATTTTGTTGAAAGTGACGAAGTTGAGACATTGTTGATGGCAGTCCAAGTAGAGAAGGAACCTGAACAAAACGTTTGGTATTTGGATACAGGCTGCAGCAATCACATGTGTGGAAGTAAGTATTCTTTTTCTTCTTTGAATGAAGACTTCCGTTCAACAATTAGTTTTGGTGATTCTTCCACTGTGAGTGCAATTGGAAAGGGAGAGATTATGATTAGAACCAAGAATGGTTTTGAAGAAACAATCTCAAATGTGCTATATGTTCCTGCTTTGAAAAGCAATCTGCTAAGTGTTGGTCAATTGCAAGAAAAAGGATATGTTATAACTATTGAGAAAGGTGCATGTGAGATTTATAATCCTACTAGAGGAGCTATTGCTGTTGTGAAAATGAGTTCAAACAGGTTGTTCCCGCTGAAGATAGAGAATATCCATCGTTGTTTGAAAGCAGAAGTTAAAGATCCGTCATGGTTGTGGCATTTTCGATATGGTCACTTGAACTTTGGTGGCTTGAAGATTCTTCAAAGGAAGAGAATGGTGACAGGGCTTCCAGAAATTGTCGTCCCTTCCCAGGTTTGTGAAGAATGTGTTATTGGCAAACAACACCGATCTCAGTTTGCGAAAGGCAAGTCATGGCGAGCAAATGAAGTGTTGGAGTTGGTTCACTCAGACATTTGTGGGCCGATAAACCCAATTTCTAATGGAGGGAAAAGGTATTTTATTACCTTTATTGATGATTATTCCCGAAAGACTTGGGTATATTTTTTGCAGGAAAAATCCGAGGCTTTTAATGTATTTAAAAGTTTCAAAGCTCTCGTGAAGAATGAGACTGGAAAGACCATTAAGAGCCTCCGAACAGATCGTGGAGGCGAATATTGCTCTAAGGCATTTGAAGAATTTTGTGAGTCTCGTGGCATTCGAAAACAGCTCACAACAGCATATACACCTCAACAAAATGGTGTATCGGAGAGAAAGAATAGAACCATTCTCAACATGGTTCGAAGCTTGCTGAATCGAGGAAGAGTTCCAAAGACATTTTGGCCGGAAGCAGTAAATTGGAGCATCCATATCTTGAACAGAAGTCCTACTTTTTCTCTTCGAGATGTGACACCGGAGCAGGCTTGGAGTGGAAGGAGACCAGCTGTAGATCACTTCAGAATTTTTGGATGCATTTCCTATGTACATGTCCCAGATGTAAAGAGAAAGAAGCTTGATGATAAAGGCGTTAAGTGTGTCTTTCTTGGTGTTAGCAACACGTCGAAAGCATACAAGTTGTTTAATCCTTTGACAAAAAGGATTGTGACTAGTAGAGATGTTGTTTTCGATGAACACAATACATGGAACTGGGATGAAAAGTTATCTAATCAAGTTCTATGCAATGATGAATCTGAGGAAATAGCTCCAAGGTCTGAAATTCCAGCAAATATTGCTCCAACTGCTGAAGATTTGCCACCTGCAGAAGCACCTATTGAAACAGAACAAGCTGTCCCTCGAGTCCGAAAAAGACCTGCATGGATGCAAGATTATCAGGTAACCGGTGTTAATATCAATGATGAGACAATTGCTCATTTTGCACTATTTGCAGATTGTGACCCAATAAGTTTTGAAAGTGCTGCGCAAGAAAAAAAATGGAAGGAGGCAATGGATGTTGAAATCTCAGCAATTGAGAAAAATAACACCTGGGAGCTTACTGATCTACCAAAAGGGCAAAGGACCATTGGAGTTAAATGGGTTTATAAAACTAAACTCAATGAGAATGGTGAAGTTGATAAGTACAAGGCGCGCTTAGTGGCCAAGGGATATAAGCAAGAGTATGGTGTGGATTACAAAGAGGTCTTTGCTCCAGTAGTCAGACTCGATACCATCAGGTTGGTGGTGGCATTGGCAGCCCAAAACAAATGGCCAATTTATCAATTGGACGTGAAATCAGCCTTCCTACATGGAGAATTGCAAGAGCAGGTATATGTCGATCAACCCCCTGGTTACATTAAGTATGGTAGCGAAAATAAAGTTTGCAAATTGAAAAAAGCATTATACGGGCTAAAACAAGCTCCACGAGCTTGGTATAGTCGCATTGATGCTTATTTCAATAAGGCAGGATTTAGAAAATGCCCTTATGAGCATACACTTTATACTAAAGTTGAAGATAGGAAGCTTGTCATTGTATGCTTGTATGTAGATGATTTAATTTATACTGGGAATGATCATGTATTGCTTAAAAATTTTAAGCAATTGATGATGACTGAGTTTGAAATGTCGGATCTTGGCTTGATGCATTACTTTCTCGGAATTGAAGTGAAGCAGTATTCTAGTGGAATTTTTATTTCACAAAAGAAATATGTCCAAGAAATTTTAAGGAGATTTGGTATGACAAACTGTAACTCTGTCACCACACCAGCAGAGACAGGGCTGAAGCTTGAAAAGGATTCTACAGGAAAGAGGACTGACAACACTTTCTACAAGCAAATCGTGGGAAGTTTGATGTATTTAACAGCCACTAGACCTGATATAATGTACTCTGTAAGTCTTATAAGCAGGTACATGGAAAGTCCAAGAGAAGCTCACTTACTGGCTGCTACAAGAATTCTCAGGTATTTGCAAGGTACTGCTGATTTTGGCATTTTGTACAAAAAAGGAGGCGAATCAGATTTAATCGGCTTCACAGATAGTGATTATGCTGGAGATAAAGATGATAGGAAAAGCACATCCGGTTATGTTTTCATGTTTGGTTCAGGTGCTATTACATGGTGTTCCAAGAAGCAGCCAATTGTTACATTATCAACTACAGAAGCAGAATTTGTGGCAGCAACTGTGTGCGCTACTCAAGCTATCTGGTTGAATAACATTCTGTCTGAACTATGTCTTCTTCCGCAAAAGCCAACTCTAATTTACTGTGACAATGGTTCAACGATTAAGCTTTCTAAAAATCCAGTGTTACACGGGAGGAGCAAACACATTGATGTGAAATTTCATTTCTTGAGAGATCTCACAAAGGATAAGATCATTGATGTTGTCTACTGCAAAAGTGAAGACCAAGCTGCTGATATTTTAACAAAGCCCCTCAGTTATGCAGCAGTTGTGAAGATGAGAAAGCTACTGGGAGTTTGCTCATTGAGGGAAGTTGTCGCTTGTGAAGACAATTAAACTGATGTCTGTGACTTATCAGTTTAAGGGAGGCATTGTTGGAAGTGTTATTTTATTTATGAACTATTTATTTCACGTTTGTTGGTCTTTTGTTTAGTTGAATTATTCAACTCCTAGTTATTAGGAAGTAGACGTGTTTTCAGTTTAGATAGCAGAGTTTGTTAGGAGTCCTAGTAGTAGTGGGTTTGTGGGTTTAGTGCTTATACAGAAAATCTCTGTAAAAGTCTATATAATAGACTTCTCTTGTTGCTATTGATATAATAGAGTTACGCAGTTTCTTGTTTTCTTCTGTTGAGTTTTTCTGGCAGCTATATTCATTGTTCTGCTTGGCATATCTTATCAATTGATTGGTCTATCGGCAAAGAAAACTCGGAAATAAATGATTTTGTTTTATCCTCCAGATATTTGTTATGTCATCACGACTACTTGTTAATTTGAATTAATTGCATTGAAGTTTTCGTTCCAACTTCATATAAGAAAATGTTAAACAAGAACTCGAGACTTAAAATTAATCCAAGTGGAAGTTCTTTCTCAGGATGTAGGGATCGGAATGGCATCTATTTTGAAGTTTATGAATTTTATACCGACCTCAAGTTAATATACAATAATAACTGGATTCACATTTAGATCCGTAGATAATTATTGATTGAATTCCTTAACATGCACACATATATATATATATATAAAAAATATCTGAATAAAAGCTATTGAATACACACAGTGGCGAATTTAGGTGCAAAAAATAGGGCATCCGAACCCGTGGTCTCTTCGTAAAATTAGATATTTTATGTATATATTTTCTAACATTTGTATAATATTATATTCTTGCACCCGTACTATAAAAAGTCTAGTTGATCCATATGGTTAAATGTTGAGCTTTTGACTTTTGAGGACTGAGGATCAATTCCCACTTAATACATTTTTCTTGGTGCACCCATGTTCGGATCAATTCCCACTTAATACATTTTTTCTTGGTGCACCCATATTCGAAAAATCCTAGATTCGCCTCTGAATACACATTACATGTTTAGATTTCATTAATTTGACCGTAACAGTTGACATTCTTTTGTCAAGCATCTATTCTGGGAGGTTATATATATACATTCGAATGATGACATTATACTATAGCCTAAAACTACATAAAAAATGTCAAGTAAATTATTTAACTATCAATACAGAATTCCACAACCAATGGTTCCCTTTAGCAATGAATTGCAGTCAAGTTCAGCTAGCAATATACAAAAAAAATTAAAAAATCATTCAAACATATTACGTATACACACAGTAATATATAGATGGTGTTGATCATTGGTATTAATTAGATAAGTGTTGAAGCAATTAGAAGTATACACACAGTATATATAGATGGTGTTTGAAAACGAAAACTTAGGCACAAATAGCTGCTAAAGAAGTTGAACAAATCAAAATGGTTGCGAGGACTATGATAATAGCATTCCTAATTTTGTTAACGTACCTCTCAGTTACTAATGCATCGAACATTACAACTGATGAGGCTGCTCTTTTATCTTTCAAAGCTCATATAACTTCAGAGCCCAATGAAATGTTGTCAAAAAACTGAACAAAAGGAACTCACATTTGCAATTGGATAGGCATATCTTGCAGTAAAAAGCATCAAAGAGTGACATCATTAGTCCTCAAAAGCTTTGGATTTAGAGGTTCAATCGCAACAGATATTGGGAACCTCTCCTTCCTTAACTCTTTGGACATTGGAAACAACAGTTTCTATAGCCAAATCCCCGATGAAATAGGGTGTCTGAGGCATTTAAAATACTTGTATTTGCAAATGAATAATCTCACTGGTCAAATCCCACTAAGCCTTGGATTTCTTACAAGGCTTCAAGTTCTTCATCTTTCTAAAAATCGTCTATTTGGAAATGTTCCATTGTCCATTTTCAGTTTGTCTTCTTTAAAGGACATTGATTTGTCTCGGAATTATGAGTTAACTGGGAGTTTGCCAAATGAGATATGCACTAATCTGCCACTGTTGGAATATATATCCCTGCAATATAATCAATTTGTGGGTGAACTTCCTAAAGGTTTAAATAAATGCACCAAACTTGAAGTTCTGTCCTTGTCTTATAACAAATTCACAGGTAATTAACTAACTTGTAAACTTTTCATTTACTAATTTTACTAGTAATTTCTTCTTGAATTAATCATCCTTTTTGTGTGTGTGTGATGTTATATTTGATAGGAAATTTACCAAGAGACATGTGGAACATGTCAAAGGTTCAAGAACTGTTTATTGGATGGAATAACTTTACAGGTACGTGATTTTGTATGTATTAAATCTTGAATACTCTAAACGAAGTTCCTAATTTCACTAGATATAGTCAATGTGCGCATTGTCTAGTAGCAAACAAAGATTAATATATTTTGTGGAGAACATTTTCGTCCGTACCAAAGACACCCTATGTCTGATCTTTAGCATGATAACCATATACTTATTTTCAAAACAAATTTGCAGGAGATATACCAAGTGAAATGTACCTACCAGCTATCCGGAAATTGAGTCTTCGAAGAAACGAGTTAGTTGGAATACTACCACCATCTCTTGGGAATTTGTCAACTTTGGTAATGATAGACATTGGTGAAAATAAAATTCATGGTAATATTCCTCCACAACTAGGACATCTCTCTAGTCTTGAAGGACAATATTTTGGATCGAACGCGCTATCAGGTGAAGTTCCTGTTAGAATTTTCAACATTTCTTCACTAAAAGTAATAGCACTTGCTGCGAATACTCTGTCCGGTAAACTTCCTACAAACTTAGGCTATAGTCTTCCAAATCTTGAAGGACTTTATCTTGGGATTAATAATTTTAGTGGTAAACTTCCTAGCTCAATCTCAAATGCCACTATGCTCAAATTTCCTGATCTTGAAAGGAACATGTTTAGCGGAAACGTACCAATTGATCTAGGACTAAATCTCAGGCAGATTCAAAGCATCAACTTTAAGAGGAATATGTTGGGCTATTGCCCATGTTCCAACAAAGGCCCATGGCCTAATCCTACTTGAAAAAGGATTGGAATTATTCTCTTTATTTGGTTTCCAATTCTATTAGGAAAATGATTGGAATAGTAATCCTATTTGGAGTTGGTTTTGGCTTTGTAAGGAAAAGCACAACTCTATAAATAGAGGATGGTTTTGAGAGAACAATTGAGATTGCTCATTAATATTGTCTTTGAAAGACATTAGGACATAAGAGAAGTTTTTGAGAGAGCTTTCAACAAGAGATAAGAGAAGAAAAAAGGGTTCTTTTGCTATAGTATTTTATTCCGACCAGCAACCTTCAGATCGTGTTTTCCGATTAACTAACCGTTGGATCGGGCTGAAATTTGTACTGAGTATTCCTGACATCTTGGTGGTTGATTTGAACGGTGGAGATCGTATTCGGAAGTCAGAAAGATCCTTTTTTAGGTCCCGAACAGCAGCTGGGTTTGGGTGGTGTTTCTTTCTATTTATCTTTTGTTGGTGTAGCTATTGTTTGTTCTCTTTTGGAACTTGTTGTGTAGCCATTAGAAGAATAATTGTAACTCTCTTATTGTTATAGTGAAGAAATTCGGATCTTGTCGATTCCGTGGTGGTTACCTTCGTTTTGAAGGATTTTTCCACGTTAAACTTGGTGTTCTTTATTTTAGATTTTCGTTTTCATCTTTTCGTCACAACAGAATATGCTTACAAATGATCCTTCTTCCATGGGCGAAATAAGTTTACTAAATTCCTTCTCACATTGGAAGTACTTGAAACTTTTAATGATTGGAGACAACCAATTTAATGGCATTCTTCCGAAATCATCCTTAACTAATATGTCGTTGTCTCTTGAGAGATTCATCGCATTGACAAAAACCTTAGGCACCATTGGCTACATGGCACCAGGTACTGATCAATTTTTTATTTACTAATTACTTTCTTTAACTTGTATTCTATATGCATGTATGATGATGTATTTCATTTTGATGGCAGAGTACGGGTCAGAAGGGATAGTGTCAACTATGGGAGATGTTTACAGCTACGGCATTTTATTGATGGAAACCTTCACAAGAAAGAAGCCAGTAGATGATGAGTTTGTTGGAGACCTTACATTGAAGAGTTGGGTCGCGGAGTCATATCCTCATAGAGTCATGGACATTGAGGATGCTAATTTATTTTCAACAGATGATGATGAACATTTGATAGCTATTGAAAGTTGTTTGAGATCGGTATTGGATGTAGCTCTTGAATGTACTGCTGACTTGCCCCAAGACCGAATTACCATGAATAATGTCCTCATAAGGCTCAACAAGATCCAAACTCAATTTTCGAGCCAGTAACATTCAAATTACAATAAGATTCGATTTGTGCTTATTCTACTTTACATGCAATATTTCTATTTTAAAAAATTATTTTTTCATTTAAAATCAACTTCATAACTACACCTATTCATTTTCCTAACTTATCATCTTATGATCATAAATAAATAATAATAAAAAAATTATTAAAAGTAGAAAGCTCAAAAATTTAAAATTAAATTACCATTTTACTCATATACTAAATAAAAAAGTTATAAAATATTTTATTAATTAAATATTCGATGCTCGTACTGGCATTCATTTACTACATATTTGTGTCGCATAAATCCATTAATATTTAACCAACTGAGGCCCAAAAGACCAAAAGAACCAATAAGCCATCTGAATCTGTGTGTCGAGGCCCAGTACTCTTTGTACTTCTTGTCTATTCACATAATATTCACACCAACACCCTTCCTCAAGTTGGAGGAGATGAGAATACACCCAACTTGCCCAATAAGGTGTGATGCAGAGGTCCAGGCAATGATTTAGTGAACAAATCAGCTGGTTGGGATGAAGATCGAATGTGAGAAAGTGAAATGAGTCCTGCGAGGAACTGTTGGCGAACAAAATGACAATCAATTTCAACGTGTTTTGTACGTTCGTGGAAGACAGGATTTTTTGCTATATGAATTGCCGCCTGGCTATCAGAGTGTAGTGGAATGGGGAGTGAAATGGGGATGGAGATATCATCAAAGAGGCGAACAAGCCAAGTGAGTTCGGCAACTACCCGTCTCATGGACCTATACTCTGCCTCAGCGGAGCTAAGAGAAATGGATGTCTGCTTCTTTGATTTCCAAGAAATAGGAGAAGTCCCTAATGAAATGTAGAAACCGTTGACAGATCGGCGAGTATCAGGGCATGTTCCCCAATCAGAATCGCAGAAGGCTCGTAGTTCAAATGAAGAAGAAGGTGACAGGAAAAGGCCAAGTCCAGGGTCTTTCAAAAGGTAGCGAAGGACTCTAAGAGCAGCATTGAGATGGGGTTTCCTGGGGTCCTGCATGTACTGACTCAAGTGTTGTACGGTAAAGGAGAGATCTGGTCTAGTGTGTGTGAGGTAGTTTAGCTTGCCCAAAAGATGTCGATACAAAGTAGGATCATCAATTGGATCGCCTTCTTGAGTAACTAGTTTGACAGTTGGGTCTAAAGGAGAAGACACATGAGATAGGTCTAGAATATCAAATTCCTTGAGCAAGTCGAGGGTGAATTTCCTCTGGCAGAGCATCAAACCATGTGATTCACGAAGTACTTCCATTCCAAGAAAAAAATGTAAGTTTCCCAAATCTTTTATTTTGAATTCTTGATCAAGGAAGATCTTCAAAGCATGTAGTTTTGCCTAATCATTCCCTGTTAAAACGATATCATCAACGTATATAGCCACAATCGAAATGGAAGAGTCCGATTTCTTTACAAAAAGAGAATAATCATTTAGTGAATGCCTGAATCCTTTAAAGTTTAAGGCAGATGTGAGTTTAGCATACCACTGCCTCGATGCTTGACGAAGTCCATAGAGCGACCTATTCAACTTACAGACGTGTTTAGGCGAATGAGGAGTGATGCCTGCTGGAAATTTCATGTAGACTTCCTCATCTAAGTCTCCATGTAAAAAAGCATTATTCACGTCCAATTGATAGAGGCCCCAACCCTTCTTTACTGCTGTTGCAAGAATGCATCTAATGGTAGTCATTTTCACCACTGGAGAAAAGGTCTCATTAAAGTCGATTCCCTCTCTTTGTATATCACCTCGTATCACCAATCGAGCTTTCAGTCTCTCAATACTGCCGTCAGAGTGTTGCTTAACCTTGTAAACCCACTTACACGGTAGAGCTTTCCGATCGGGGGGTAGTTCTACTACATCCCATGTTTTGTTAATTCTAGAGCCTGAATTTCCGATTCCATAACTGCCTGCCACCCAGGATGATGAACATGTAGGAAATAAGGAATCAGTAGGAACATAGGACTTGATAAAGGAAAAAGAAAAAACTGACTCATGAAAGACAACATCCCGTGACACGAAACACTGTAGAGATTTAAGACTGAGAACTTTGTAGCCCTTTTTGCCGTGTGGATACCCCAAAAACACACAAGGAACCGCCCTTGGATCAAACTTACTTCTTTTATTTGAAAGGGTAGAAACAAAACACAAACAACCAAAACTTCTAAGATGAGAATATTGTGGTTTGGTGTTGAAAAGTATCTCATATGGTGTTTTGAGATTTATGACTTTGGAGGGAAATCTATTAATTAAATACGTTGCTGTCAAAAGACAGTCTCCCCAATAGTGAATAGGAAGGTGAGACTGATATAATAGAGCCCTGGAAGTTTCCAATATGTGTTTATGTTTTCGCTCAACAATTCCATTTTGTTGTGGGGTGGACACACAAGTTGTTTGATGGATAATACCTAAGGATTGGAAAAATTCTGAATGTGTTTTCCCACTTCCCAATTCAAAAGCATTGTCTGACCTGATTTTCTTTACTTTCTTGTCAAATTGTCGTTCTACCATGGTAAGGAAGGATTTCAAAATGGTGAAGGCATTAGATTTAGAACTTAGCAAGTAGGTCCAAGTACCTCTGCTAAAATCATCAACTATTGTGAGAAAATACTTAAAGCCATGATTAGTAGCATGTTTATAAGGTCCCCATGTATCCACATGAATTAACTCAAAAATTGATTTACTAGATATTGTGCTAGACGGGAAAGGGAGTTTAGATTGTCTCGCCATGGGACAAACAACACAAAGAGACAAATTTTTAGAAGATATTGGAAAAGAGATAACAGAAATATTTCTCATATTGCTCAAAGGCATATGTCCTAATCTAATATGCCATAGTTTTTCTGTTACATTTGAAGATGAAGAACTGAAACATGAATTAAAAATTGCATTTGAAACAGATTTCTTAGAATTTAAACTAAAATTTCTAGCTAAACTAGAACTAGACTTCTTGCTCGAATTGAAAACTTGAACTGGCTTGAATTGGCTTGAAGGAACTGTGTTGATTGTTTTGTGTTAAGGATATAGAGTCCCCCTTGCTCCTTACCAATCTCCAGAGGGCTCTTCAGAGAAGGGCCCTGAAATAAAAAACAAGAATAGGGAGTAAAAAGGAGTGAATAACTGAGTTGAGCACAAAACTTATGCACAGATATCAGATTAAATCTGAAAGAAGGTATATATAAAACGTTGTGCAGAATCATATTAGACATTAGTGTGACTGTTCCTGCATGAGTAACCTTGACTCTATAGGAATTAGGCAAGTTTACCATGACAGGTTTAGGAAGAGCTTTAACATTTGAAAGGAATTCCCTATTATAGGTCATATGCTCAGTTGCTCCAGTATCTAATATCCAAGAATTACTATCAATTTCAATAAAACAGGCATAAGAATTGAACAACTTGGGCATACCAGAAAGACTGAGATTTGCTGCTCCTTCAGATCCTGCATTTTGATTTGATTTCATCTGCTGAAGCATTTGCAATATTTGTGTTATGTTCTCCTGACTGAGAGCTTGGACTTCTGGAGCATTGGTGTCTCTTTGAGTAAATCCTTCACTTTGATTGTAAACACTTGAGTTGAAAGCTGTACTTCCCTGCGATGTGCTTTGAAATTTTCTAGGTTTTGTGAATTTAAAATCAGCAGGAAAACCATGGATCTTGTAGCACTTATCCACACTGTGACCTGGCTTCTTACAGTAGGCACAGATCACGTTGCTCTTCTTTCCATCATATCCTGAGTTACCTCCTTTTTGTGCCTTGAGGACGGGGTACTTCCTTTCTCCTGAATTAGCAACTATGAAAGATCCTGAATCACCTGGATAAGTAGGTGTAGCATGTATTTCCCTTTGTTTTTCATCTTGGATAACAAGAGAGTAGGCCTGCCCAATGTTAGGCAAAGGAGCCGACAACAGAACATTACTTCTGACCCCAACAAAAGTGTCATTTAAACCCATCAAAAACTGCAACAATCTTTCGTCCTGATGAGCTTTGGTATTCTTTATATTAGTAGAAGGAAAAAGTCCAGCGGTACTGGAAGGAAGAGCTGGAGTGGACTGACTACTAGCCTGTGAATCAGTGCTCATTGTGAAAACAAAATAACACAGTAAAAAGAATGATCGAGAGGTATTCAAACCTGCTCTGATACCATGTAAGAAAACAAAAGATATATGTGGAACTTTTCTTATGTATTTGATCGATGTTTTCAATTGTACAATGCCTTGTATATATACAGCAAAAGAAAGACTCCTAACAGTTTACCAACAGCAAGGAAAAAGACTCCTAACATGTAACTAATCCTAACGTTATATGTATTGTCCTATTTGTAGTTAACTTGTAGAAGTAGGTTTAGTTTATACTACTTCAGCCCACTGTTGGCTGAGATCGTTAACCACCTGAGGCCCAAAAGACCAAATAACCGATAAGATATCTGGATCTGTATGTGCAGGCCTAGTACTCTTTGTACTTCTTGTCTGCATTATTGAGCAGATCAATATTCACATAATATTCACACCAACACTGAACTTGGTTACATTTATGCTTAGTCTGCTACGACATTCATACAAAAAGGGTGAACTTAGAACTTTAATAAGTAAGATCACTATATGACATGATAATTATATATTGAAAATAAAGTAAACTTATATGACATGATATGATTATCATATATTAATCAATCTAAGTCAAAAGTTGAATTACGAAAATACCCCTTACCTATTAATTTATTTTCTTAAAATTATTTTAAAAAATTATTTTTTCATTTAAACTCAACTTCATAACTACACCTATTCATTTTCCTAATAAATAATAATATAGAAAATGAATGACCTAGATATTCATTGAAACTGCTCATGCTTACCACCCTTTGGTAAGCTGCCTTGTCTAAAAAGTCTAGAGTTATGGATTGGGTCTGCGGAAGTGGAGTATATTGATTCTGGATTCCCTACAAGAAGAAGGTTTCCATCTCTGAGAAAACTTATTATAGGCGAAGAGCAATTCCCTGTGCTTGAAGAGATGGAGATTCACTGGTGCCCTATGTTTGTTATTCCAACCCTTTCTTCTATCAAGAAATTGGTAGTTCGAGGATAAGTCAGATGCAATAGGTTTCAGTTCCATATCTTATCTCAGGGCTCTTACTTCCCTCGACATTAGCGAAAACGAAGAAGCTATTTCGCTCCCAGAAGAGATGTTCAAAAGCCTTGCAAATCTCAAATACTTGGAAATCTCTTTCTTGAAGAATCTCAAAGAGCTGCCTACCAGCCTGGCTAGTCTCAATGCTTTGAAGCATCTGAAAATTGAATATTGTTGGGCACTAGAGAGTCTTCCTGAGGAAGGGGTGAAAGGTTTAACTTCACTCACACAGTTATCCATAACATACTGCAAGATGCTACAATGTTTACCGGAGGGATTGCAGCACCTAACAGCCCTCACAAATTTATCAGTTAGGGATTGTCCAACACTGGCCAAGCGATGTGAGAAGCGAATAAGAGAAGACTGGTACAAAATTGCGCACATTCCTGATGTGTTTATCCGTTAAGTCTTTGTTCGCAACAAATTTCCTTAAGCGCTGAAAATCAACTGCAAGCAAAATAAATAAAAGAAAAAATGTTATTTTATTGATGAATCGTTGTGAGTACAATTCTGTTGTTCTCTTGATTCTCTCTCCTAAGATTCTCCAAGATTCGAGAGCCTTCAGTAGCGTATTTCTCAAAATGTTGGATGATGTAGACCTCCTTGAGATGTTGTCGATCTTCGGGAACGTCGAAAAGCGCTTCGTCGTTTCAAGTCGATCTCCGGGAAGAACTCCGTTGATGACTCCTTCGAAGAGCTATGTAGTTGATGGTGTAGCTTCCTAAAATTGCAGAATGCTTGTTGAAGATTTTTCTTGATGCCCTTTGAATGTCATGTGTATCCCCTATTTATAGTTGTAAGGGGTGGACAAGGTTGCTTGTGATTGGCCAAAGGATGTCATTTTGACACTTGGTGGATTGTGATTGGTTCTTGCATTTGACTGGGACTACCACCTCATTTGGACACGTGGCATCACCTTGTTGGTCTTGGATGCCTAGTCATTGTGACACGTGGCATGTGTTTGGGCTTCAAGGTGAAATGGACCTTGAATTTGAATTTAATAAAAATGGACTTATTTATTTGTAAATCCCAAATTAATCATTCAACCCAAATAAACATGGATTTAATCCAAATTTTGTATGAATTAAATCCAATAAAATTTGTGTGTCTACAAATGCCCCCTACTTCCTTGTTGAAGTGTAGGTTTGCCGACACTTGGTGACAAGACTTGAAGTATTCATGAATGTGTTTTCATATTTTGAGACTTGTCAACGTGTAGGCTTGCCGAATTTGACGACGAAAGTTAAAGTCTTCATGAATGTGTATTCATTTTTGAGACTTCTCTACGTGTAGGCTTGCCGAATTTTGACGACGAAAGTTGAAGTCTTTATGAATGCATTGTTGAGACTTCAAGAGTATTTGTATCTAGTCGTTGCATTCTAACTAGGTCACTACAAATGATTTGTTTGTAGTGATCTCAATTTTTTTTAAAAACATTTTTGCTTGACAACCACGTGGACCCTCTATATTGATTTCAAATAGATGGGTCTAGTGAGTAGTAACATTGTGTGATCTTCCTTGCAAGGTGTGAGAAAGAACAAGAAGATTGATTGGATTTTGAATCAAATAAAAAGAATATCAACTTTCCTTTGGTTGATTTTGTAAGAAACATTCTTGACATCTCAAGACCTATTGCTTTCCTTTTGAGTGCTGGCAACTTCCATTTAGATGGGTAAGAATTGATATGATTTCCTTCTTCCAATCTTACCACAACTTTCCTTGTACAAAGAATGAGAGTTGTTCAAAGGAACTTCTATATATGAATCTCTCATGTACAAAGGATTGATCAAAGAATCATTGGAAAAAAAAATAATTCTCCTAACCAAATCAATGTGGAACTCCAAATTTGGTCTGTTCTTTTTTCAATTTCGTGCAGTCCCGCCAAAATGCTCTTTTCTTGGTATAAAAGAATCTGGAGAAACTAGACTTATAATACTATGACATATCCAAAACCCAACATCAAAAACCTTTTGTAATGACGGGAATTAATTTTTGAAGTTGGTCATCAAATCTGGAAGTTCTCCTCATAATTATGCGCAATCTCGCCAAAACGTCTTTTTATCGGTGTAGCAGTATTCAAACGACAAGCCACTTAATTCTGGAGAAACTAGACTTTTGGTACTACGACATATCCAAAAATCAACGTTAAACACCTTCCGGATTGACAGGAATCGAATTTTGAAGTTGGACATCCAATCTGGAAGTTCTCCTCACAGTTATGCATAATCTCGTCAAAACGTCCTTTTCTCGGTGTAGGAGCATTCAAACGACAAGTGGCTTGATTCTGGAGAAATTAGACTTTTGTTACTACGATAAATCCAAAAATCAATGTTAAACACCTTCCGGATTGACGGGAATCAAATTTTGAAGTTAGACCCCAAATCAGTTCTTCTCACAGCTATGTGCAATCCCGCAAAACCATCATTTTCTTGGTGTAGGAGCTTTCAAATGACAAGCGGGTTGATTCTCAAGAAACTAGACTCGTAGTACTGTGAAATGTCCAAAAATCAAATGTCAAACTCTTCCTGAATTGACAGAAATGATTTTTGAAGTTGGTCTTCAAATTTTTGCCGTTTTCCTCACAGATTTGTGTCTTTTAGATTTTTCTTGTTTCTCTTTCTTGCTAGGTAATGGTTGTGGTTGCATCTTTATTTATGCATTGACATGTTTCATAGACACGGGAGATTGATGTTCAAGATCCAATTTGGCCGTAATTCAAAGCTTCGTGCTACTGGCACCGGTATGTCGAACAAGATTGTTGTGCTGCTGCTCATGTTTGTCATGCCATATTGAAGGGTCATGCACTTACTACATGTGTTATCAGAAGTAGATCAACCAAGAAAAAAATGAAAACTTAGTGCAATTGGCACCGATGACTCCAATATATATATATATATATATATATATTTCATTTCAGGTTTCTGAAAGAGCTTAAATCACTTAGAAGTTGCACGAGTTGTTCATATGATTGGCGTGGAACCACTCATCTCATCCTAG